CCCCATCCGCGGCCCCCATCCGGCTTCTCCGAGCTGGCAGAGCCGCCCCCACCTTGTCCCCCTCCCTCCGCGCAAATCTTTGCGCACCGCGGGCCCGGGCTGCTCAGCCCTTGCTTCCGCATTGTGAAGCTCTAAATGACCTGGAAGCTTCCAGTCTCCGCTCCTCCTTGTCTTGGGGGAGCCCAGACTTAGCGGTCTGTGAGAGATTAATGCATCCCTACTTCACTTTGTTGCTAATATTGTTGCCTTAGTGCCCAGAATAATTTTTGGAACATGGTAACGACCTTTATTACTCACTGTGGGAGCCATTCGTAAGGGATTCTAGGCATTTATTTTCTGCATTTTAAAAGACATGAAAACGACATACTATTGTTCTAGAACTTTATGAGAAGGATGTCGCTGGATTAAATTGTATAGCATCAGGGGTGGACCAACGACATTTCAAAAAGCAGCTTTTTCAGGTTTGTTTTTTTAAAAAATGCTCCTGAAGAGAATGTATACAAACATCCCGTTGATGAAAGCGGTTGCTTACTTTTCAAGAAAATGACTGCAGTTATGGTGCCCCCGCCATGCACTAAGCCCAGGCTTGTCAGTGTAAACCGAAACATGGAGCCCAAAAGTGAAATGCCTGGCTTTGTACGGGTTTTTTGTTTGTACAGCTGAACCTTTAATGAAAGGGACTGGAAAATCAGAAAAAGAGCAAACATCGAACTGCTCTTCACTGTAATGCTCTGCACAGCCCGTGCATTTACCTCTGACCTCTTTGTAAATCCACAGTTCTCTATCCTTTGACAGTGTTAAGACTGTGATTAGAATTTAGTGAGAGAGACGACTGTTTCCGATTTTCATGCCTAGGTATAGTTCACATCTTTGTTCTCTTTGGTCCAATAAAAGAAGCTGAAAGGAGAACACGAAAAAATTGTTATGTGAATAGAGTGCATGCTAGATATGGTTTTGAAAATGCAAACTGAGGGTCGCATTAGAATTATGTTTAATGCACTTTACGTAGATGGTCGACTCAGTTGCCTTGGCTGTTGTTAACCCTTATTTATTACAGTTAATTTGGTTAACCTTTTGGGAAATGTGTAGGTCCCTCTTGATTTAGGGTAATAGTGTTTTTGGACTATAGCTTAAAGGCCTAGTATCTGAACATCTACCTGGCTTTGAGGATGCTGTTTAGCACCTGCATAGATAATCTAGGACCTGGGTGCTTCTAGTGCAGCAAATTTAAATGTCCTCAGTGTGTTCTCCTTTTACTCATCTCATTTACCTACGTAGGAGTAACTAGTCCAAAATTAGATTAGGTTGGATTAGTAATGCACAATTCAATTATCCCTCAGATCCAAAACTCTAATCACTACCTCCTCCTCACAAGATTTTTCTTGATCTTGTCTCTGCTGTTACTACGCATTCCATCTCCGTTGCCGAGAAAGCTTGTCTCACATTGTTTTTCATCTCTGAGAGCAGACTTAATGTAACTGATTATCCAGTCTTTTACAACAATGTTCATGTTCCCCTCTGCTGTGAATTGTTCTGCATCGTTTTTCCCTGGCCTTCTCACGTAGAATCTTCCAGATCAGAACCTCTTTTGGTCTCTTAAACTCCAGAGACATAACTTAGGTTCCTTTGCTTGGGTTTATAATAAAAACTGTTGAATCCTAAAGAGACAGAGGGTATGTCAGGACAAAAATAGGTATGACGGTGACATTTAGATTTGTACAGAGTCAGCGACTGAGAGGTAGAGTTACACCATGGTTTTTGTTGCTTGTGTGTAGGTCAGGTATAATAATACTTGCTCAAAATATTTCTGAGAGAATACTCACTTTCTAGTACTTGAGGATTTGACAAATCACACTTCTATTTGAAGTATTGGAAAATGTTCCCTGAGCCATGAGCAGACTTCTTGGGGTAGTAGGACTGTCCCTAGATTAGATTCTCAGTGCAGCTTTGAGTGGGAACTCACCCCTGCACCTGATAAAAGCTGTCGACTTCCAAATTATACAAGAGTCTCCCACTGCAACATTAGAGAATTTAAAATTTATATTAGAATTTCCCTCTTGTCCACGTTTATATTGAATGTTTTTGAAAGTTTGGTTTGTTTTCCTTCTAGATCAGTCATATCATTTGGATCAAAAAACAGAACAATTGGAGTTGCAGCCAAAAATCAGGTATGTTCTTTAAGAGAATTTCTATCATTTTTAAAGGAAGAGGTTTTAAAAGGGAAATTAGGAGGCCCGCGAGAGTGGGAAGCAGGTAAGCCTGTCAATTTTTGAGCTTTAAAAATGCAATTCATATAGTATTTATGAACGCTCAGATGATTATTTTTCCCCTGCTCCTTTTCTCTTGTTCTGTTGAATGATTTCTGCTTGACCTTTCCAGTCTGCCAATTTTAATTTCTAGTAATTCTGCTACCTTTTCTCTAATTTTTTAAGATTATGAACACGACGCTTGAAAATTTTCTTGTGCCTTTCCCATGATAGTCTATAAAAGTTAAAAGGTTTCTTTAATGGAAGGTACTTCTAAGAA